ATGAATAAAATAAATAAATAAATAAATAAATAAATAAATAAATAAATAAATAAATAAATAAATCTTTAAAGGGACAAGATCTGGGTCAACTTTCCCCCTCCTTTTAATAAAGAAACCAGACAGATCTGCCAGTGTACCTAAGGCTTGGTTTAAGTTTTCAAGTGAATATCCACCTGAATATTCCAGCAAAATACAAGCTATATTCTGGGCTTAAGTATAGATTGATTCTTTTCTGTAAACTAACAAAGGTGGGGTAAGAGTTGTCTTCTGATAATAGCCTGACACAGTATGAAACAAATTGCTTTTTTGTGGCATGCGGGTGCCTGAAACAAAAGCTAGCAGGGCAAACTTTAAAGCTACTTAATATTAAGAGTCCAATTTAGTCAAACTTGTTTTAACTTTGTTTTCATGACTTAATTTCTGAGTTTATCCAAATTCCATAAGGATAGGTTTTCAACAGTTGCAATTACTTGGGGGATAGAGGGAGATAATTTATTTTTTTCTTATTTGAGAATCATAATGCTTTTGCAATACTTGCCTTAAATCACTAGAATAGATTTTTTTAAAATTTTCATTTTTTTAAATGTTTTAAAGATTGATTAAAAAAAAGATTGATTTATTTTGGGGGGCGAGGTAGAGGGAGAGAGAAACCCAAGAAGACTGTGTTGAGCACAGAGCCCAATGTGTGGTGTCGGGCTCCCTCTCATCACCCTGAGATACCAGACCTGAGCCGAAAACCAAGGGTCAGCTGCTTAATCTACTATGCCACCCCGGCGTCCCAGATTTTCTTTTCTAAAAGACAAAACTGAAAGATGGTCCTGTATTTTGTAATATACCACTTGTTCATTTCCCTATAAATCTGATTTAAGATTGTTACAGATAAGAACGTTGCAACTCTGGGATCCACTGTCCTGAGCTTAAGCTTTAAAGTCTGCATCCTTAGGAGAAGGGGGTTCATATTTATAGTGGAATGACACTTCTGTTTTGTTCTGATTTATTCTCTTTAAAGAAAACTTGGGAGAAATTCAGGAAAGCTGATTGGGAAATGCATAGTTAATGTAATGTTTTCACCACATACAGACTTGGAATCTCTTTTAAGTGATGTAGATTTGCTTCATGTTGTTCATAAGATAACAGTGCACTATAGAAGCTATATTTTTAGTAGTGGATGCTTCTGTACCATACAGGGAGATTAATTTTTTAATAATATAAAAACTAAAGAACAAATTAGCCTAAAAATATTGAGCTTTGTAATGACTCTGTCATGAGCTGTTTTTTATTTTATTTTTTAAGGAGAGTCATTTGGGTGGGTGGGAGTAAGATAAAAAGGCAATTTTGAAATTATTTCAAAATAAACTTAAAAAAATTTAAGGTCATTTCTCTTTACACTCTGAAAAGCTCAAGATAACTCAGGTTTTTCCATGCTGGTGCCACATTGGTGGAACGTTTTCAGCAAAGAGGCATTAAGGGGGTTTAATTAACTACACATAGCATTACATAAATACTTGGCAAACTACCTTAGTATTAACAGAATCAGGTGAATACTAGCTTTAGAATGATGTTTAACATGAATTTTTACTAAGATAATGCTCATTCTAAGTAAACTTTTACTAGTCTTTTATTTGTTGAAAGCATTTATCCCTTGCTCTGACTTCAAAATGCAATGGAATTTTTCTGTAAGTGCAATTTGGTATTAGTATGATTCATTTTAGACCTTTGTTTAGAAGAGATTAGTTTCAAAAGTATCAGAAAAATGACCATCATATGGCCTGGCCTCTGGTAACTTGCTGTAACAATATCAATCTATGTAGATACTCCATTTAATATTATTCTGAAAAGTAATTTGTAAGATTCCTCACCCTCTTGAGTGTTTTTAATTTAATTTTGTCTCCTCAAATTTATCTAGATCTGAATATTATGAAGGTAAAGCCACCAAAGTAGCCACTCAATGTTTCCAGGGATCAGTTGAAACTGGTAATCTGATAACTCCTGGGAACTCCTTAGCAGATGTTAGATCAGACATAGTCAAATGACAATGGAAAAAGTACTTGATACTAGGATGAGACTAAATTACAGCCTAAGGAATAATCAGCATCACTTGAACATGAAAGTAGTGCTATATTAGGGACTAGTGATCTGGACTAAAGCTAATGTAACATATATAGAATGCTAAGGGATTAAAAAAGAACAATTCTCAGAATGGGCAATTCTTACCTTGAATGTCTAATATACTTGTCCCTGTTTTGAGATAATAAATCTAAACACCTGTCAAAATACGACCTAACAGATTGTTTCATAGTATTTGAGATGCATGATATTTTCAAAACAAGCTTACTCTAAATTTTTTATGGCATTAGTTTGATGTATATAGTGATAATTCATTAACATTTGTTCATGAGGAGCTATTAATGCAGTTCACATCTTTAAATTTAGCATGCATAATAGGATAGTGTATCACCTGTCAAGGAGACTTCATGAGAATTTCTTTATCCTACAAATTGAATGTAGTTTATAAAAGTTGTGCTGGGAGGCATGTTACCCTTGCTTTTGAACACTGGAATTGAAGTTTTTAAGAATCTCAAATCCATACATCACAAGACAACTGCTAAGACAATATATATGTTTAGGTTGAGGAACAACAGGAATATTCAATTGCTTCTGTGTATGTCTAAATAGGAATGAGAAAACTGCCTTGAAGGGTTATCTGTAAGCATTACAATTAGATATAGAAAAATTAATACATTCCTTAAAGAAAAATCATAGGTTCTTAGAGGTAGCTCTTAGAATACTTTAGGGTATATGCATTCCTGAAATTTAATAGGATGATAATGTTAAAATGTCTTTCCCTTAGAACATATCAAGAAGCCCATTGGCTCTTTACTTTTTCAATATAGATTGGGTTGTTTGTGAATTGAAGGTTGGGGAAATAAGCAACCAGAAATGGAGTTGATAATTCAAATACTGGCATTGCCATTTTCTTACAAATTCTAAAAGGTAGAATTACAATACTTTGAAAATCTCTGTTATGACTTTTTCATAGTATAAGCATACATTATATTCAGTTAATGTCTTGGACCTAAACTCTGAGACCAGGAACTTAGTTTTATATTATATGCTCTTAGTTATATGACCCTGAGAAGTTTCTCTTAATTAGAAAAAAAAAAAATCATGTCTCATAGGACACTTGAAACTGTTAATAGGGCAGCCTGTGTCTCTGCCTCTCTGTGTGTCTCTCATGAATAAATAAAATCTTTTAGAAAAATTGTTAATAATTAGTACCTTTATCCCTACTTTTTTTAAGAGGGAGAGGCAGAGACACAGGCAGAGGGAGAAGCAGGCTCCACGCAGGGTGTCCGACGTGGGACTCAATCCCGGGTCTCCAGGATCACACCCTGGTCTGTGGAGGCAGACGCCAAACCGCTGAGCCACCCGGGCTGCCCCTATCCCTACTTTATAACCTCATGAATTTTTTTTTAAAGAGAAAATTATATTTCTATTTTTGGTTATGAGATTCTGATATTAAAAAAAATCTAGCAAAAAATCTTTAATGAATAGGTCACTTTTAAAATAAATAATGAATATTTTACTTCCTTTTTGTTAGGGTCCGATAATACAGAAGCGTAAGATTGCCCCTAGAGAGGTTTCAAAGTTTACCTATATGTCCCTCTAGCACAGGTGAAATAACTTGTAACTTTTACATTAGATCATTGTTTTTGGTTCTCAGCTCTTTTTACTGTAGTTTTGTTCATTAGACAGCCTGAAGTTAAACTATGGTGCAGTATAAAAGATCTTTGGTTTTCTATTAACATTTCTTCACTCACTGGGATAAACTGAGGAAGTTGAAGTGTGGTCTTCCAGACAATGGTGGTAAGATGAATGGATTCTATCCAGAGTTCTTGGTCTTTCTAGGCCTTTGTGGCGTGTCAGCTCATAATTTCTCCCTGTCTTCCCTCCACCCCAAGTTATGTACGTTGTTAGGTGAAAAATTCTTGGTGACTGGGATATTCTTAACTCCTATTCTAAGTGAGTCCTCTCAAATGTAGTAAGCCAGTCCTGAGGCCACAGGCTCAAAGCCACTGCCAGTGTGTACAGGTGGGTTTCCATATATCTGAACAGCAGTGGGAATATAGTTACTGTTTAGGGAGCATCTCTTAATCTAATTAAGCTGTGGAGATAAAACAAAGGCAGAATATTTAGGCATTTTCAATCATGTGTTATCTAGCATTGCTGACATCAGTGTTGGAAGGAAAAGTATCAGCCAGTCAGTTGCAAGAAGGAATTAGAAGACACAGACAGGATTTGAAAAGTGAAAAGCATGAATGTAAAAATATAATTGAATACTGATTGACGCAAAGCAAGTGTCTGCTTTGAGCAACACTAATTTTGAGTACTTAAGGATGGCGTTTTACACACATTACTTCCTTTAAAAGTCTCATAACCCCTGATTTCGGTATCTTCGAGACGATCAGCGTTGTCTTGCCCTGGGTAACACATCTAGTTAGCAGCAGAACCAAGTTATGAAAACCTCACTTACACATCCTCCCCTACACCTCCACCGGCCGCCCCCCACCCCCATCGACCTAATCTCAACTGGGATTTGACATTTAGTGCCATTAAAATTTGGGACTAAGGGATCTTCCCTATGAAACTGAGTCTTGTTATTTCAATTAAGAACAAGAAACAGTTCAGTGGTTTACTTCACGGTTGGAAGGGCCTAGAAGAATGGACTCCAAGAGAACCCTTGGGCAGCTTTACTATACCTAAGCCCAGAAGCCACCAGAGCACAGGTAGTCGGAAAGCAGACCGAGCCCCGGGGGCAAGGGAGTCGGCGAAGGCGTCCCGCACGGGGTGGGCCGCCCGCTGCCCTCTGGCCGCCCGCCCCCCCCCCCCGGCCGCCCCCGCGCCGCCCCCGCGCCGCCCCCGCGCCGCCCTCCGGCCGCGGTTGCCCAGCACCGCCAGGCGGTTGCTTGGGCACCGGATTAGGCCGGTCGGTAGCGACCATGCCTCAGGTGCCGGAGTTTTATTCCGGTCGGAAGCGGTGGGACGGGCAGACCGCTTCCCTGCCGGAGGTGAGTGCAGCCTTGGCTGACCCCGACCCCGAGGCCCGGGCAGACCGGCCCCGCCGCCCCCTCCCGGCCCGCCGCTCCCGGGGCGGCCCCCCTGCCCGCAGCCCTGCCCGCAGCCCCGCCCGCAGCCCCGGGCGAGCGGCACTCGGGGAGGAGTGGAAAACCCAGACAAGGGAGGTGTACTCGGCCACGGTCAGAATTGAATTCCGGTTCCCTACCCAGATATTTGGATGTTCTGGAAATTCCACCTCAGCACCTCTAATTGATTGGTTGCAAAACAAATAGCCCTCCTGCGCAGGGAGCTGTCCTGCCCCAGGTGCGACCCCCGGAAAGGAAAGGCTGGTGGGTTGGTTACCATTATTGAAAAGGTAAGCTTGTTCCTTGCCTGCTTCCCCTGGAAGGGAGGCGGTGGCCGGGCGGGCTCCCTGGTTTTGAAGGTCTTAACTCCTTTTCTCCGCGGAGGCTGCCCTGAGCCTCAGTTTATTGTGGTCTGAGCCCCAATTCATCAGTAAATTGTTCTGATGAGTCTTCTGTAAACAATCAGTAAACAATCAGTAAATTGTTCTGATGAGAGGTGCCGGCTAAGTGAAGTTTCCTTCCTTCCCTTCCTTTTCTTCCTTCCTTCCTCCCTCCCTCCCTCTTTTCCCTCTTTTCTACTGAAACTGCACTTGAATACAAAAAGGATAAAATCCTGGCTACGATTAAAACAAAAAACCTTCACAACACTTGAAGATTCTACATCTTTATTGAATAAAGAGCAACAAGTGGGAATTGTTAAAAGTTCATTGTGACATGTGTATTGTAAATTGAATTTTTAATATTGCTGCAATCATTTCATTTACAGCAGTTCAGTTTGTATTACAACTGGGGATGTGGTACTGGAAAGATGAAACCAGAACTCTTGAATTCAGAAGGTATATTTTATTAAAACTTTATTATAGCTTTTTTTTTTAATTATTTTTTTTTAATTTTTATTTATTTATGATAGTCACAGAGAGAGAGGCAGAGACACAGGAAGAGGGAGAAGCAGGCTCCATGCACCAGGAGCCCGACGTGGGATTCGATCCTGGAGCCCGACGTGGGATTCGATCCTGGGTCTCCAGGATCGCGCCCTGGGCCAAAGGCAGGCGCCAAACCACTGCGCCACCCAGGGATCCCTATTATAGCTTTTATAAAAATTTCATGTGCTTAGGGTAAAAAAAAAACACACAAGAGTATAACAAGCAAAATAAATATCTGTCGAAATTCCATGATCTAGAGAAAATCATTTTGGTCAGCAGACTTCCAGACATCACTTTTAATAACATCTATCAGCTGCTTCCTATGTACCAGACACTGTGCTAATCAGTTTGTCAATCCTTTGAAAAAGTTGCATGCTCATCCAGTTTTACAGATAAAACTGAACTCAAAGGGTGAAGCAATTTAAAGAAAACTAAATGACTTGGCCAAATGGCACAGCTCACAGGTGACAAAGATGATTGAAATCTAGATCTGTTTGTCTCAGAGTCCATGTTCTTAACTGCTTAATAAAATTGCCTCTTTGAGTTACAAAAATAAAGTTCTACGTTAATGAGACCGTATTATACTTGCTGCACAATAGTCAATTCTCCAAAGTGAAATTATTAAATTAGAAAAATTGATTTTAATCTCCTTGGAGAAAATACTCTATGAAAAAGTGCATAACTCAACAGACAATACTAGCCACTATCTGCTGTGTACCTATTATGTGCCAGACATTTGCATGTTTTTAGATTCTTTTTTTTTTTTTAAGATTTTATTTATTCATCAGAGACAGAGAAAGAGAGAGAGGCAGAGACACAGCCAGAGGGAGAAGCAGAGGCTCTATGCAGGGAGCTCGACGTGGGACTGGATCCCAGGTCTCTAGGATCATGCTGCAGGCTGAAGGCGGCGCTAAACCGCTGAGCCACCCCGCGACTGCCCTGTTTTTAGATTCTTAAACAGCCATGAAGTGAGCATTAATACTTTCATTTTATAGATGAAGAAACAAGGCTCAAGAAGGTTAAACAATTGAACCAAAGTCATACAGCCAGTAAGTAGCAAAACTGACATTTTGAACCAGGGTTAGTCTGATGCCAAAACCTTTCCCCACCATATATACTGTTTCCTTCCTTTAGACCATAGGCCCCTCTGTGGCAGGAACTGTCTTACTCATCTTTGTGTCCCTAGGAGTTGCCTCCAGAACCTCACAGAGTACACCCTCCCCAAATATTTATTGAGTATTTCAGTAAACCAAATCAAAGTACAAGTTAAATACCTATTAAAACACCAGAAGGGATCCCTGGGTGGCTCAGCGGTTTAGCACCTGCCTTCCGCCCAGGGCGTGATCCTGGAGTCCCGGGATGGAGTCCCACATGGGGCTCCCTGCATGGAGCCTGCTGCTTTCTCTGCCTGTGTCTCTGCCTCTGTGTGTGTGTGTGTCTCTCATGAATAAATAAATAAAATCTTTTAAAAAATAAATATAAATTTAAAAAAAACAGAAAATGTGGGTATAAATTTCAAGTGTCAACATTTTCTTTTTTCAGTCTATTTATTAAGTGACATTTGGGGTGGGTTACCATTAAATTAACCTAATTCATCGGTATCAATTTCACACCGACTTTCTTACTCATAAAATATTTATAAACCAGTTTTTTTTTTATTTATTAACAAATTATTCTTTAAAAATGGCATGATTGGGGTGCCTAGGTGTCTCGGTCAGTTAAATGTCTGCCTTTGACTCTGGTCGTGATCCCAGGGTCCTGGGATCGAGCCGCATTGGGTCTCTGCTCAGTAAGGAGTCTGCTTCTCCCTCTCCCTCTGCCTGCCACAATGCTTACTTGTGCTCTCTCACTCCATCAAATAAATAAAATCTTTTTTTAAAAAAAATAGGATAATTGATTTCCACTAATTTTGGAGAATATATGTGTGATGGCATGAAAGGTAGATTATATGACATCATTTTGAAAGGCCAGACGCAAAAATTAAATCTGTAATTCCGTTTATATTTAAGTTTAAAATAACAGGCCAGGGATCCCTGGGTGGCGCAGCGGTTTGGCGCCTGCCTTTGGCCCAGGGCGCGATCTGGAGACCCGGGATCGAATCCCACGTCAGGCTCCCGGTGCGTGGAGCCTGCTTCTCCCTCTGCCTGTGTCTCTGCCTCTCTCTCTCTCTGTGTGTGTGTGACTATCATAAAATAAATAAAAATTTAAAAAAATATTCTTAAAAATAAAATAAAATAAAATAAAATAAAATAACAGGCCAAAAAAAGAACTGTGATGATAGAGGTCAGACTAGTGGTTACTTTGGGACATTGTCAACTGGCAGGGGATGGGGGAAGGTGTCAGAGAACCTTCTGAGGTGCTGGAAATGGTCTAAATATTGATCTGGGTGGTGGTTACATGGGTATGTACATAGTAAAAAATTCATCAAGCTGTCCACTTAAGATTTATGTACTTTGCTACATGTTAAATCATACCACAATTTTAAAAAGCAAAAAACCAAACCAAAACAACACACTAACTCCAGACGGTGGAGTACGCAAAATAGGAGCAGTTAGGAGACAGAAAATAATACTATGAAGAATAGATGGGTGGCGGCATGATAAATCTGAGTATCAGGATGACCTTGGGAGTCCAGCTGCTGAGGACAGTCAGTACCAAGGAAGAGGAAAGCAGACCTTTGTATGTTTAGGCCGGAGCTAGTGTTTGGAGTTGATGGAAATGCAGGTACTGATTTCTTTTTAGAATTAAGCATATGCCATCACAAAATAAAATGTGAGAAGACTTATGAGCATCAACAAGCTCTTTTTTTTCCAGAAACGATTTCAGAGACTTTTGTCACCCCCGTTGCTGGTGATGGTGCAGGGCCAACGCAGTGGTAGGGGTGGGAGCAGCAGAGGCAGAGGGGAAAGCCTGTTCAGTCACTGCACTTGCACCTGGTTTTGTTTAGTACACTGTATAAATCTTTGCCAAGCAAACATAATGGGATTGTATCTGTGCTCTAGAAAGCCCCTGCCACAGTAGCATGGAGAGGCAAGATGAGAACAAGGGAGACGAGGGCGCCTGGGTGGCTCAGTTGGCTAAGCGTCTGCCTTGAGGTCAGGTTATGATCCCAGAGCCCTGGGATCAAGCCTGCACAGGACTCCCTGCTCATTGGGGACCTTGCTTCTCCCTCTCTCGCTCCCCCTGCTTGTGCAGTCTCTCTCTTTAAAAAATAAAAAAATAGAGTACTCTTATCGGTGAGTTTACCTGTGAAGGAAAAAAAAAGACCTAGTAGCCTTTTGGGGATCCAGTCCTAAAGGAAGGGAATTTTCGTTGGTGTGTTTTTTTAAATTTTTTTATTCGTGAGAGACACAGAGAGAGAGAGACACAGGCAGAGGGAGAAGCAGGCTCCATGCAGGAAGTCTGATGTGGGACTTGATCCAGGGACTCCAGGATCACGCCCTGGGCGGAAGGCAGGCGCTAAACCGCTGAGCCACCCAGGGATCCCGGTTTTGTTTTTAAGGTAGGAAAATCTTGTTTGTTTTGAGGAAAACAAGAGATGAAACAGAAGAAAAGGAGTAGGGAGTGGGGTCAAGAGCACAGAAGAGCTTGGAAAAGATAAGAGCACCTTCCCACTGAGTATGGTGGAAGGGAGGTGACAGACAGGAGGACCGGGGAGTTCAAGGGGGTATGGGCAGGGTAGTATCTATGCTGCCCCTTCTTACTGAAAATAAACCAGAACCTTCAGGCTCCTGTTGGAGGGAAGATCTGTTAGTAGCAGTGCTATGACCCTGTTTCCCTGAGATGGCTGTTCTTAGGGCCCATTCATTAGTATCTGTTACCACTGCCACCACGGGGCTGGGCCCAGACTGGAAAACCACATTCAGCCAAGCACTCTGACCCAGTTCCCAAATGGAGCCATTTTCTGAAGCCCAGGGAATGGGGGCTGGGGGATGGGCAGGGAAGGCTTCCCAGGAGAGGTGATATCCAAGCCAAGACCTGAAGAGGAGTAGGTATTGGCAGGGCAAAGGGAGATGTGGTTGGGGAGGAGGAGAGTGCATTCTAGGTAGAAGGCCCAGCATGTGCAAAGGCCCAGTCCTGAGAGGGCCCGGGACATATTTGAGACTTCAGGTAGTTCAGGAGCCTGGGTAAAGGGTTCCAGGCAGGTGTGAGTAGAATTTTCAAACCAGGGTAAGATCTTTTTTTTTAAAGATTTTATTTATTCATGAGAGACACACAGAGAGAGAGGCAGAGACACAGGCAGAGGCTCTATGCCGGAAGTCTGATGTGGGACTTGATCTGAGGACTCCAGGATCATGTACTGAGCCCAAGGCAGACGCTTAACTGCTGAGCCACCCAGGCGTCTCTATGCTGAGGAATCTGAACTTGAATCAGAGGGCATGGGGGAGCCAATGAAAGGATTTCTAATTTTTTTTTAATTTAAAAAAAATTTTTAAAAGATTTATCTATTTGAGAGAGAGTTTGTATGAGCAAGGGGGAGGGGCAGAGGCAGACAGAGAATCTCAAGCAGACTCCCTGCTGAGCTTGGAGGCTGACTGGGGCTTGATCCTGGGACTCTGAGATCATGACCTGAGCAGAAATCAAGAGTCAGACTCTTAACCAACTGAGCCACCCTGATGCCCCTTCACTGAAAGGTTTTATTTATTTATTTGAAAGATTTTATTATTCATTATCGATCCTCTACAAGCTGAGTTCTAGAGACCAATATTTGCCGTGTGTTATTACATACTTCCTTTATCATCTTGATTGAAGTATCTTCTATCTACCCCTTCAACATCCCCTAATACCTATCATAAACTCTTAAATTACTAAATACAACTCCCATTCTAATTATTTTATTCCACTAATTCTTCCCCTTATTCTTTTCACACCTAACCTCCTCTAATCTAAAATTTATTCCTCATAATAATTAACAAAACTCCTTATCCCTTTTTAATACAAGTTTTTTCCTCCCCCCACCTTGGCCTCTCTCATTAAAAATTACTCTTCTATCACTCATACCCCATTCATCCCCCCCCTACCTTCCCTCTCTGCCATTGCGCCCCTTCCTCCCTCACCCACAGCCATGCTCTCCTTCCAAAAAAACAAAAAAAAAAAAAATATATATATATTTAACACAACCCACCCACACCCCCACCCACAACAACTACAGGGAGGCCAAACGCGTGCACGATGATCGATAGGACCTAACATTGCGTGTACCTGATATCGATCTTTTCGCTCTCTCGAATGTATTTAGGAATTAGATATGTGTAACAACGAGTCATGACTAATAATAAACCTGTATGGACCAACACGGTTATAACGAATGACCTCACGGATAACGCTGATCTCCACAAATAAATCTGACACTTGCTCACAACTCACTGTGTGAGAATTAGCAAAAAACAAAAACAAAATTCAGAAGATGCTATTAGAGAGAGATATAGAGATATTAGGATCACACACATCCAATAGGTAATAGTAGGCTAAGATATAATAAGTTACAGAGTGGGATCCCATGACTTTTTTAGAAGTGAGATGGCATCACAACCTTTACTGAGTTTGAAGTGTCTGTAGGATGCCCAAGCGAAGGTGTTTAGTAGGCATGTGTATCATTTTATGTCTGCGGAAAGAGCTGAACCTTCACTATACAGTTGTCAGTTATCAATGCTAGTGGAGTAGTTGAAATTACTCAGAGGAAGTGAGAAGAGGAACCAGATGGAACCCAGGGAAAGGCTCTCATTTAGGGAACATGTCCAGGGAAAGGAGGATGAGAAGGAAACTAAAGAAGAGCCAGCAGTGGGGAAGAAAATTTGAAGTATTATGAATCCAGATAATAGTTTCGCAAAGTAACAGCATGATCTCAGAGGCATTCAGTTTTTAACCCATCAATTTCCAACCCTGGGAGTCCCTTCTGGTGTTTTAGTCTTCTTTCACATGGAGTAGGCCACCTTTTACACCCACTAGCAAACAGCTGTTCATAGACTTCTAGGTGTTCTCCAGTTAGAGAAGATGATCCCTTTGCTCTTCCCAACCTTGTAGGTCCTGGCATCTTTCCTGAATGAGTGACTTTGGAAATCCCACCCTTCAGAGAAGACCTAGCTCCCTATGTCACAGGCAGATCCTGCCTTACTTTTGCAGATTATACCCTGGGAAGGATAACTGTATCAGAAGATACCCATAACCTCCACACAAGAAATGGATGCACACTAATGGACAGGCACAGGATAGTCATTCTTTTTTTTAAGATTTTACTTATTTATTCAAGAGAGGCACATAGAGAGAGGCAGAGACATAGGCAGAGGGAGAACCAGTTTCCCCGAATGGAGCCTGATGCGGGACTTGATCCCGGACACCGAGATCACTCCCTGAGCCCAAGGCAGACACTCAACCGCTGAGCCACTCAGGCATCCTGGATAGTCATTATTTCTTAATAAGTTGTTTGTTTTTTTAAAGATTTTATTTATTTATTTATTTATTCATGAGAGACACACACAGAGGCAGAGACACTGGCAGAGGGAGAAGCAGGCTCCATGCAGGGAGCTCGACGTGGGGCTCGATCCCGGGACACCAGGATCAGGCCCTGGGCTGAAGGCAATGCTAAACCACTAAGCCACCAGGCTGCCCTCTTAATAGGCTGTTAAGGAAGAGACCTTGAGGAGTGTTTTAGAGGAAGACCTGGATTCAGATCCTAGCTCTCCCTCTAACTAGGTGGTTATCATTTGTCAAGTTAGCCTTGCTGATGATCAGTTCCCTCATCCATAAAATGGATTAATAATGCTTTGTGAGGAGTAAATGAGGGTGTTGTGTAATTCATTAGCACACGTGCCCATTTCTTATTTGTTAAAGAGGGAATACCTTTCTTCACAGGCCACCCTGGTTTGGCCCGTGAGGTGGATTTCCCTCTGACACAGTGGTAGCTCTCCTATCCTTTCTTGTTTCAAAAGCCCCTCCTCACAACTGGGAGAGAACCAGCAGCCCACCTGAGTCTTTGCCAAAGTCATTGACTCTCCTACGGACATACAGCTGAGGAAACTATACCTCCAGAAACCCTGAACTACTCTTGTCTTTCCTCATGGCTTGAGAGAACTCTAATAACCACCAAGGAGCTCTAACTTATGTGGAAGCCAAGAGTGATCCAGCCCTCTGCATTTTAGTGATGGATTCTAGTGGAAACTATGATTCTTTTTGTCATTTATTTCAGGGCAAAGGGAAACGGTATAATTATGTTGTAATACTGTGAATGAACAAAATGTGGTCTGTGAAAGGCCCAGATACTAAATGGGTTGCCAGATGGAGGGGAAGATGGTAGAGACTGCAGGAGGGCACAGAACTAGCTCACACTGTGGTTTGGAAGCTAGTCAGAATTATGATTCAAAGGACAGCTTCCAGTTATTACTAGTGACACTTTCTAGTGATTTCAAATGCACTGTGAGTGTAGTCTGCCTATAGGGCTACAGCAGGGCACTCACAGGGAGAAAGACTTCTCACCAGTCAAGGTAGAGAATAACTTGACTCATGTGAACCACCACTCAGACAAGTGTGAAGTAGGGAAGGCATGTCTGAAAGAGAATAATGTCTAGAGGCTTAGCAGTAAATGTCAGCCTACTGGCTAAGGACAAGCACTTCGTGTCTCTCATCTTAAATTAGGGCAAGACACTTTGAATTATAGGGATAGGACTGAGAAAAGGATAGGGGACAGCAATTTCATTTGACAGTAACTGAGATTGGGTATATCTATCTACTCTTGTCTTCCAGAGAAGAGAAATCCTGGGAGAACTGGTGACCTGTGATTTCCCTAGCCTGGGGTAGCAAATTTAACTGCCAATGGCTTTTAAGTGGCCAAAACAGTGTGATGTTCCAAGGAGAAACATGCAAACAACTTTGTGTTCTTATTTAGGGTGGTTATATGAAGGAATCTGCACAGGCACCTTGCGAGAAATGGCTTCAAAGAGCCATTAGAAAATGTCTGGGGGGCACCTGAGTGGCTCAGTCGGTTAAGCATCTGACTCAATCTCAGTTCAGGTCTTGGTCTTAGGGTTGTTTGATCCCAGCATTGAGCTACTTAAAATATAAAAAGGTTTTTACTTATTTGACAGAGAGAGAGCATAAGCAGAGGGAATGGCAGAAGGAGAAGGAAAATGGCTGTGCAGGGAGCCTCACATGGGGCTCAATCCCAGGTCCCCAGGATCATGACCTGAGCCAGAGGTAGATGCTTAGATGCTTAACCAACTAAGCCACCTGTGTTTTGTTTTTTGTTTTTTTTTTTTAGGTAGGCTTTTAAAAAGTAGCTTTTCCTTTTCTCTCTGCCATTCCCCCTGCTCGTGCTCTCTCTCTCAAATGAATAAATAAATAAAATCTTTTTAAAAAATAAATTTTCGGGGTATGCCTGGGTGGCTCAGTGGTTGAGCATCTGCCTTTGGCTCAGGGCGTGATCCCAGAGTCCCAGGATTGAGTCCCACATCAGGCTCCCTGCATGGAGACTGCTTCTCCCTCTGCCTATGTCTCTGCCTCTCTCTCTCTCTCTCTCTCTCTCTCTCTTTCTTCTGCCTCATGAATAAATAAATAAAATCTTTAAAAAAAGTTTTTAAAAAATAAAATAAATTTTCTTAAGTCTGGATTTGTTTGGGAGATTTGATTATTTTATTAAAGTCTATTTAAATGGTCTGTCAGTATAACATATCTACCATATAGTGTTTGTATGTGCCTCTATCAACTTTTTTGTAGGAATGCAAGAAATAATATAGTCTTGTTATTAAAAAAAAAAACTCAAATAAAATGGAAGTATACAGATTGGAAGCTAGATGTCTTCAACACCATTTCACCTCTCTGCCTCACCTGATCCTCTTTGGTGGTAGCCACCATCAACATTTGGTATTCTGGGATGCCTGGATGGCTCAATGATTGAACATCTGCTTTTGGCTCAGGTCATGATCCCAGAGTCCTAGGATGGAGTCCTGTATCGGGCTCCCCAGAGGGAGCCTGCTTCTCCCTCTGCATCTCCCTCTCTGCCTCTCATGAATAAGTAAATAAAATCTTAAAAAAAAAAAAATGGTATTCTTCCTTTTTTTTTTTCACCCATCCCCTTAATACTTCAGCATACCCTCCCCACTAAATATCCAGTCCTTGGATATTAGTGACAAGAGTAGCATCAAATAGGATGAAAAGCTTAGAAATCATCCACTGACCAAGTTGGTGCCAATGGTCTTCAGAAAAAAGAAAAGTAGAAAAATGCAAAGGATCATTCCCTTGCGGTGACATGATATACATGCTTTTAGGAGCTAACCCGTTTTACAACCTGAAAACTGCTGGGAGGTTGGCAAAAACTCTTGGAGGAAGAAAGAACCAAATTGATTAACTTTATTATTCTCATGGGAAAGTATTTCTCTAAAATGATTACTTTGTGAGTAATATCAGTCCCAGAAAATTTTCAAAGAAAGTTGTTTCAAAACTATTGTGTCAAAACACACACACACACACACACACACACATACACACAAAACCCCCACACCTATTAAAATATAAAAAACTGTTGTGTTAACAAGGAGATGAAGAGAGTATACATGATTGACATCCATCTTTAGAGAATGAGTAAAGTCTGGGGGAATGTGCTTCTATTACTATACCTGCACTTAAGCTTAGCAGAGGGGCATGAAGCTGTGGGCAGAGATTAGGCTTCTGGGTTGTGTTATCACTGTGGCATTGGTTCAGACAGAAGAATGAAAATTCTAATCCACAGTGGGTTTCCAAACCAATGTATTTGGTAGACCCCCCCCAAAAAAAAATTCCCCTAGAAAATGTACTCTCTGAAAGGCAGGAACCATATTCTGCTGGTCTTCAAAATGTTTTTCTTGGTTTTTCTATTAAGCATTTGCTGAAATTCCCAAGAGGCTGTGAATTGACTATAATGGAGACCGTTTTATTTTCACATCAGAGCGATGGATGACACAGAGTATGGCCTCAGCATGCTTGTGTGTTGCTCAGTCGTTGTCCCTTCTTACTCAGCACCGTTACCACTTAGTAAATGTTTGTATGACCTTAGAACTTAACCTTGAGTTCATTAAAGGGTCCTGAAAACTTCTGAGAGACAGTCAAGGCACTTAGAAGCGTCCACAGCAGTGACAACTGAGATGACAGCTCAGGAGACAGGATTGCCTGGTGGGTACATGCATGGCTCTGTGGTGAGAGATCCTGGACCCCGATCTTGGCTCTGACACATGCTTAGTGATCTTGGTCATGTTACTTAATCTCTTTCTAAGCTTCCGTTTTCTTGTATGTAAAAAATGGTCATACTAGTAATATCTTCCCCCTAGAGTTATTGTGATTGAATAAGACTATGCCTAAAAGCACTTGGTGCGTCACAGATGCTCAATAAATAAAAACATTTTTCCAGGCTTAGCATGAACTTTCTGTTTCTTGTGAAGTTACCAAAACATTTTCAGATGGAAATGTTTTGTGTATGGTGATGTTCTGGAGACTGCTGATACGTAGAGGCAGAGCATAAAGTCTGAAATGTTCATCTTTTTCTAAATGGTTGTTCCATATGTAAAATATGTGAATCGAGTACCATGGTGCCTTGGAGCCTTCCCAGACTCCACTCATAACATCTTCAAGTCTTAAGATCCCATGAGCCACTGTCCTGCTAGGATCAGCCTTCCCCTGGGGAAAGGTCAAGTTCCTAATTTTTTCATTTGTATTCCAGTTTTACACCTGCAGTAGAACTCAAGGAAAAAGGGAAGAAAGGCAAAGCAATACACTTTGCTGAAACTGATGGTCCAGCTGCAGACAGGTATCTTCCAAACTATGGCAGTGCTGCTGACAGCTCCTCTCAGCAGAATGGCTCAACTTTTCACAAACTCTAAGAAAATATCATACCATTATCTGAGGTTGATGTGCAGATACCCATTAAGGAGAGAACATGCACTATTTCTCAATCATGGGAGGCAGTAACAGTAGTCCCTGCAAATGTATCCCTGTGATAACCTGGCTCATAGCAAATGTTCAACATTTTATATGTTTTTTAAAATCTGAAAATGGTAGCTACACCATAGAGTACCTAAGTAGATGATTAATAGATTATTTAAATGCTCTGTTTTAGATGGAATTGGTATTTACATTTTATGTCAGGCAGTGTACATTTCTCCTACCCCTAGCATGGTAAATATAATGTTTAATACAAGGCATTCCAAAATTCTCCTACATTAAACAAAACCCATTTTTGGGTTTTGACACTCAGGCTCTCTTTATCGTAAAAGCTTCATGTACCTCAGGATCAATTAAATGCAACTGAAACCTTTCAAAGCCCTACCAGAGACCATTCTATTCCAAAACAGGTTGACAGATAAAAAATTTGCTTCAAGAGATGATAAGTCACCTAAAGCCTTAGGAAAACAGGTCAGCAGGGCAATGTGATGCTACATGATGCTAAATGTGAGTAACTGTTTCGTTATCACATATGCTATCTGGGGTGAGCCTCTGAGGCAGCCCTTTGTCCCTCTCTTCAATTGGCCATCTTCTCTCCTTTCAGTTGTTGCTTTGTTTTTGCTACAAGATACTGAGATGCAGTGGATCTGTTCTTTTACAATATTTATGAGGTATGTAATGCTCCTGAGACATTTTAGATGTTTTATCCTTAATTTGAATTGCAACTGATAAATGATGATAAATATGTTTTTTGGAGATAGGACATGGGGCAGGCTTTATGCAAGCCATCCCCTCAGGACTCAGTCTCAAAGACTGAGACCAAAGACAGGAAGCCATAAGTCACAGGAGCCCAAAATGAAGTCCTAGGGCAAGGAGTATGGAGAGCACATTGTCAAAGTCCCAGAAAGACTACATTATCTTTGTAAACAGTAGAGGGTATTGATGAAGTTTTGGAATATAAGTGAGGTTTGGACCTGACGATCAAGAAAGAATTCTTGAAACATTTTGGAATATAGGTGAGGTCTGGAGCTGACAACCAAGAAGTAATTCTTGAGGTGTCTTTGGTGCAAAATGGTGGTTTTATTAAAATACAGGGACAGGACCCATAGGCAGGAAGAACTGCTGCCCTGGGCCTGTGAGGGGTGACTGATTATATACCTTGGAGTTGGGAGGGCTTTGAGGATAGTGTACTCTCTAAGGAATTTTGGAAGCAAGGTTCCAGGACCTTGAGGGGGCTAGCTGTTGTTGGGAAAAGATCACTTATTACCATCTAATAAAACCTGAGTCATGAGACCCTTCAGATGTATATCATAAGATGTATATTGGTGGGTCATGTGCTTGGAGGATGATTGCCAACACCTATCTTGGGGGTTTAGCGATAAAGGGAAATTTTTAAAGGAATTTTTATGTTAAAGCAGACTTATAGGCTCCTGGGGGTTGGGCTAAGATTGCCTTCTGCCCTTAGCAAAGTACGAACATCAAGGCAGTTGAGTCCTTAGAGGAATGCCCCTTTGCCTGTTTCAAGGACTTGTCAATGTGCTGCCCCAAGCTTGTGCCTTGTCCTTAGCTAGCTCTCTGTTCACCCATCAAGTATATTCATTTACTGAAGATCAGTTTTCTCCATGTTGGAGCCCCAGCAAGTACTAGGTGTATGACTCTACCAGGGCAACTTCTTGCCCTTTCTAAGCCTATTTCTTCAGATAGAAAATTAGAAGTAATCGTGACTCCATACGCAGGTGGGTGGAAGGGGCTCCTCATGTTGCCACACTTGTGAGTACTCAGTGAGAACTGGGTACGCAACCATTGGCAGCCCTCCCAAATTCCCTCAGTGTTCAGCAAAGGCTGCTTGTGGCAAACACCTGAAGCTTTATTCCACAGCAGGAGCACACTCAGCCTGACTACAAGGCAAGCTGGAAGCACCAGTGAGTCAGTGTTCCAGAAGCAGCCTTCCATCTGGATTGTGCTAGACAGAGAGTTGGTACAAAAATATCCCAATTTTCACCTGTCGAGATAACTCTGAGAAGCTTTCTGAACTGTCTCCCAGAGTACCCCCCCCACCTCAGGACTGAACTATGTTTGTCCACAGGGATAATGAATGAACTTGTTAACGCCCACTTTGTGGGCTTCCTTCTCTTCCCTAACTTTCTCACCCTGCTACTGATGTTTCCTGTGAGCACTTTCCAAGTAAACTACTTATTCTCACATCTTTGTCTCAGAGTCTGTCTCTGGGAGAACCCAACCCAGGACAGGTAGTTATGAACATTATGGGGGGGAAAAACCTACAATGCTTATCTTCATCCAGTTGTCAAGGGATGGTTGAAGAAAGAATGCCAGTTAAGAATTTGCATTTGCTAGATAGGAAGCAGCAAAAATCTTGTGAGGATAGTTAGAAAGAAGGCAAAGGCTTCTAGTTTTATTTATTTATTTTTAAAAGATTTTATTTATTTATTCATGAGAGACACAGAAAGAGAGTGGCAGAGACACAGGCAGAGGGAGAAGCAGGCTCCATGCAAGGAGCTTGATACGGAGCTTGATCCTGGGGCTTTAGGATCATGCCCTGAGCCAAAGGCACATGCTCAACCTCTGAGCCATCCAGGTGTCCCAAAGCTTCTAGTTTTAGAACAAATGAGATGGGATTGTGAATCAGTGCAACCTTTTCCTAGAGCAAAGCTATGAAACTTTAATATGCTCTCCGCCATGCCCTACAAACCTCACTCCTAGGAAGTTACTCAGAGATGTGGCCATAAGGATAATTACTGCAGCCATGTCAATAACATTTTTAAGAGACCTACATACTCATCAATAGAGAACTAGTTAAATAAATTATGATCTAGAATACTTTACCCAGCTTTTAAAAGAATGAGAAAAATCGATACACAGTATCATATATCGATACATAGTACCATGCTAAGCAGGTAAGTGACAAAACCAAGTTGCAGGGACGCAGGGGTGGCTCAGTGGTTGGGCATCTGCTCAGGGCGTGATCCTGGGGTCCTGGAATCGAGTCCCACATCAGGCTCTCTACAAAGAGCCTGCTACTCCCTCCACCTGTGTCTCTGCCTCTCCGTGTGTGTGTCTCTCATGAATAAATAAATAAAATCTTAAAAAAAAGCAAGTTGCAAAGACTTGTGTATAGCATTATCTTCCTTGTTACCAAAGAAAATTTTAAGCCATATATTCATGTACATGTCTGTGCGTTGGTGAGGGAGGACCTTCTGGGTAATTGTCTGTACTTTGGAAAGTTTAGAAAAGATTCATTCCACTCTTAGCAGTGGCTACCACTTGGAAGTAGAATGGTAGCAAAGGAGTGAGAGGACTTTTTACCTTACATATTTGTAACATTTTTTAAACAATGTGAAATATTATTTAATGAAAACAAAAATTTAAACTAATTGATAGGCAAAACTATAATTTAGTGTGTGACATCCCAAGAAGTTTGGTCATAAAAATCAGATTTCTTACGTCTTCAATAGTACAGTAGATAGTTATGTTTGAAATATGTTTATACTGTATGTTTAATGTTGGAAATGTGTTTATACTATGTTTTATGTTTGAAATATATACTATATATTAACTAATTAGAATTTAAATATTTGAAAAAATATGTTAGAATTCCTTTCTTTCTTCTTCTTTTTTTTTTTTTTTTTAACTCTCCCCACAGGAATAAGAATCTTGACAATTTCCTCATGGCATTATTATACTATTTATCTCATTACTTGGAAAAAAACTCACTGGAAAAACAACCCAAAAGCTATATGGTGTAAGTAGGATTTTGTAGTGCACTTTAAAATTTTATCATTGGCAATATTAAAACTAAGGTAAAGAGATGATGGAAATTTTTTAATTTTTGGAGTATACTAAAACGTTTTACATGGGAGGAGTTCTTCAGTTTTTAAAACTCACTGAATAATTCAAATGATTATTCTAGCAACAAAATATTCCAGATAATGTAGACCAGCACTGCCCAGTAGAAATATAATGAGAGCCACATATGTAACTTAAAATTTAATATAAAAGTGAAATTAAATTTTTAAGATTTTATTTATTTATTCATGAGAGACAGAATGACGCAGAGACACAGGCAGAGGGAGAAGCAGGCTCCATGCAGGGAGCCCGATGTGGGACTCGATCCCGAGTCTCCAGGATCAGGCCCTGGGCTGGAGGCGGTGCTAAACTGCTGAACCACTCAGGCTGCCCCTGAAATTAATTTTAATAACATATTTTATTTAATGTAATGACTCAAAAATGTTATTGCAACATGTAGTCAAATATTAGAAGATTAGTGATGACATACTTTACTTTTTTTTGTAGTAAGTGTTTGAAATCTGATATCAATATTATACTTACAATATACACCAATTTAGACTAACCAGTTAGTGCTCAGTAGCCACAGGTGGCTCATGGCTACCATATCTGACAGTGCAGATATAGATATTGGTTCTGTGCTTTTTATGCTTATGAAATTCTTGCTAGGGCTTTTGTAAGCATCTAATGAAAAAAACTAAGAATGAAAAAATTAATAGATATGACCAAAATGTTATTCCATAACACAGAAGAAAACAAGATTTCTTAGCCTACATAGGAAGAATTTAACTGCTTTAGGCAGAGGTGACTCAGCTTTACAGGGCAAGAATCTGGGAACTTGGGAGGCCAGAGCAGAACAATGCCTCTCAGCCTTGGTGACCTTTTGCAAGCCATGGAACTTTCCAAGTGCCTAGGCTGCCCTCCCCAGTATGTGTGGAACCAACCCAATGATTTAACTGTTAGGAATGCTGTTCGAGTCATCAATTTGTTGCTATGGGATGTTTTTAAAATGCAAAATCCTTGTGTACAACCAAGCAGTTTGAAAAGCATTTTATGGATAGATTAATGTATCTGGGCAGCAGTTCTGTAAAGAACTAGATAAATAATTCAAACACTGTTGCTCCAGTGAAGCCATCATAATATATCGTATCTGTGCTATTTCTGGGCACAACAGAGCAGCCGGAGATTGTGAAGTGTTGTTTCTATGGTGGCAAGCAAAAGGGCTCAGCCAGCTGGAGGCTCACGAGGTTTAAGGAGTCTTCATCCCCAAAAGAACTTAGACTTTTGGCAGCACGTGAGTTTATATTTTATGTGGCATTTTCTAATTCTGGGGGTTAGTGCTAATTTAGCAGACATTTGTTTCATTTCATAATTTATTGGAATATGTAACAGAGAAAAAACGTTTCTTAGTTGTTTTTGAAACCCACAAAAGCTTATTAGAGCTTAATGGTATAAGGTGGACTTTCTTAGAAGGAATCAGTTACAGAATAAGAGAATAATCCAAGCCTTAAAATGATTGGTGATTCTAAGATACATAAAATAATTTTTCACTTTGGGCTTCCAGTAGTCCGCTTACTTATTATAATAGAAATAAATATGGATTATATTGAGATATCTGAACTTAAATAACTTTGAGGAAAAAAATCGATTTTAATCAAACAATTGAGGTGTAACAGGGATAATAGTATCTACTTTACAGTGTTCCCATCCAGATTAGATGAGATAGGGCATATTTATCTTAACCCAGAGGTTGCCACTTGAAAGGAAAGCCTACAACCTGTGAGAGGAGAGCTGAGAGGGGTACAGAGGTACCCCTGCTGTGATTTTAGATGATTAAAAGCCCCAATGCCAGATGGAGCCTTACCCCCATTTTACAAATGAAGAAGCTAAGGCTCAGAGAGGTTAAGGAGCTGGCTGGAGGTGACTTACTTGGTTGGTGGGGGAGCTGAGATGGGAGCCCAGATCTATCTAACTCCCATGCCTACGCCTAAGCCACTGTGCAGCGTGTCCACCCTTACCAATCAGCGAAACTCTATTATACAGAATTTCTCCATTTGTATTTAGGATCTGTAGTTTCTGTATGAAGGTAAAATTATGCAGTTTTAAAACATCATATCAGGAGCACCTGGGTGGCTCAGTCAGTTAAGTGTCTGCCTTTGGCTCAGGTCATGATCCCAGGGTTCTGGGATCAAGCCCTGAGTCTCATTGGGCTCCCTGCTCAGTGGGGAGTCTGCTTCTTCCTCTGCCCACCCCCCTCCTACCTCACCCCTCCACTCATTCTCTCTCTCTTGCTATCTCAAATAAATGAATAAAATCTTTTAAAAAATGTCATAGCATAAGTATTTTTCAAGGTATTACAATCTTCATAGATTATAATTTTTAGTGGGGGCATGGTTTCCATCAAGCTAATGTGTGTTATTGACTGATTGACTCATCTATTAAGAGGCAGTATAGTACATATGGTGGTTGAGGGTATGGACTTTGGTGCTGGAATAAATCCTATGGAGATTCTTATGTTAATAAATGTTGAGTCCTTAAACAGTACCTGGCTGTATTACCACAGCTGGCATTACTACTTTTCCACCTCCATTTTATATAGTTTTGGGAGTTGCCAGTTTTCCTGATAGACAGGTAATAATTGAATATTATTGAATATTTCATGCATTAGATTTCCCCCTTAATTTTGGATTTTTTTTTTAAGAAGGATACATTTCGGGGATCCCTGGGTGGCTCAGCAGTTTAGCGCCTGCCTTCGGCCCAGGGCGTGATCCTGAAGCCACGGGATCGAGTCCCGCATTGGGCTCCCTCCATGGAGACTGCTTCTCTCTCTGTCAGTGTCTCTCATGAATAAATAAATAAAATCTTTAAAAAAATAAAGTACCTACAATAAAAAATTTTTTTAAAAAAAAGGAAGGATACATTTCCAGGAGAGATTATTGGGCTCAAATTTATGATCAATTTATGGCACTTGAAATTATTATCAGTTTTTTTTACCAAAGGATTATACTTGTTTTATTTATTTATTTATTTTTTTATTTTTATTTTTTTATTTTTATTTTTTATTTATGATAGTCACACACAGAGAGAGAGAGAGAGGCAGAGACACAGGCAGAGGGAGAAGCAGGCTCCATGCACTGGGAGCCTGATGTGGGATTCGATCCCGGGTCTCCAGGATCGCGCCCTGGGCCAAAGGCAGGCGCCAAACCGCTGCGCCACCCAGGGATCCCTATTTATTTTTTTAAAGATTTTATTTATTTATTCATGAAAGACACACAGAGAGAGGTAGAGACACAGGCAGAGGAGAAGCAGGCTCCATGCAGGGAGCCCGACATTGGCCTTGATCCCAGGACTCCAGGATCACACCCTGGGCCAAAGGCAGGCGCTAAACCACTGAGCCACCCAGGGATTCCCCAGATTATACTTGTTTTAAATGCCAGCCTCTACCCAGACCTACTGAATCAGGATCTTGGAGAAGGATGGCATTAGGAATCTACTTTTAGTGAATATCCCAGGTGATTCTTTTTTTTTTTTTTTTAAGATTTTATTTTATTTATTTATTTATGAGAGAGAGAGAGAGAGAGAGAGAGAGAGAGAGAGAGAGAGACGCAGGCTCCATGCAGGGAACCCAATGTGGGACTCGATCCCAGGACTCCGGGATCACGCTGCGAGCCAAAAGGCAGGCGCCAAACCGGGATCCCCTCCCAGGTGATTCTTAAGTATATCTGAGCTTAGGAACTATTGGCCTACAATAGCCAAACTGTGGAAGGAGCCTCGGTGTCCATGAAAGATGAATGGATAAAGAAGATGTGGTTTATGTATACAATGGAATATTACTCAGCCATTAGAAACGACAAATACCCACCATTTGCTTCAACGTGGATGGAACTGGAGGGTATTATGCTGAGTGAAGTAAGTCAATCAGAGAAGGACAAACATTATATGTTCTCATTCATTTGGGGAATATAAATAATAATGAAAGGGAATATAAGGGAAGGGAGAAGAAATGATTGGGAAATATCAGAAAGGGAGACAGAACATAAAGACTCCTAACTCTGGGAAACGAACTAGGGGTGGTGGAAGGGGAGGAGGGTAGGGGGTGGGGGTGAATGGGTGACGGGCACTGACGGGGGCACTTGACGGGATGAGCACTGGGTGTTATTCTGTATGTTGGTAAATTGAACACCAATAAAAAATAAATTTATTTTAAAAAAAAGGAACTATTGGCCTAAAAATTTCAAGGCATTTTTTTTATTATTTTGTTTTCAATAGCAATATTAGCTATTGGCAGCTCTGGTAAAGTAGGAGTGAAGGGTAAGAGAGGGTGGCAGCTGCTGAAGGAAACAGGGAGGTAGGCATAGTGATGGCCATTGGGGTGCAGGTAGGTGTAGGTGTTTGGATTATATGAAATATGGGCATTTAAAGTTGGAACTCACCTTATTCCAGAAACTCATCTTATTTCAGTGACTCACAAGCCTTCTCACCACATGTGATAACAATTTGTGTTTTTAAATATCTCTATTATCCTTAAACCCCTTCCTCCACTACATATCCTCATGTGGTCTGTCTAGTGGTTAACATCAAAAAGGGCAGTAATTTGTCCCTGTTGTTTAAGAGTGCATTTCATTGGGTTTAAATCTTTTTGAAAATTAAAAGGCAGATAAAAAGACAGTGACACTTCACTTTTCAATAGCAATCACTGAAATGTATTGTTAACAATATTGTTTCCTACTATATTGTACTGCAAAAACTCTAAAATTAGGCTCCAGATACACTGTAACCTATGAAAAGGCTGTCTTTTGGAAAGTTCATTTGCAATTCAATTGGAACTTCAGTGTTTGCACAGGGAAGCAAGTTTATTATAATTGATGCCAGGCACGCCGCTGGTGGCTCCATAGACTTTGGCTCAGGTTGTGATCCCAGGTTCCTGGGATTGAGACTTGCATCAGGCTCCTTGCTTAGCAGAGAGGCTGCTTCTCCCTCTCCCTCTGCCTGCTGCTCCCCCTGCTTGTGCGCTCTCTGTGTGTCAAATAAATGAATGAATATCTTTTTTTAAATTTTTATTTATTTATTCATGATAGTCACAGAGAAAGAGAGAGACGCAGAGACACAGGCAGAGGGAGAAGCAGGCTCCATGCACCGGGAGCCCGACGTGGGACTCGATCCCGGGTCTCCAGGATCGCGCCCCGGGCCAAAGGCAGGCACTAAACCACTGCGCCACCCAGGGATCCCCTGAATGAATAAATATCTTAAAAAAAAAAAAAAATATATATATATATATATATATATATATATATACATATATACATATATATATATATATATACCAAAGTTCCCAGAGTCGTGGCCCACCCATGCTTGTCAGCAAACACAGAACTGAGAATAAAGAAGCATTGAGTAGTTCAAACATTGAGCCTTCAACCTTAGTAGTAATATCAGAAATTTAGGAGAAGCTGAAGGGGAAGTCTCCATAGCTCAACAGAACAGCAGGAAAATGGGCTGCTAGGTACCTCAGAAACCAGTATAGGTAATTTGTTAGTTGAGTTGTTCTATATAAATTAGGGCTGCCTGTATGTAAAATGAAGGATACATACTCTAAAGAATATTAAAAAGTGGAAATTCACCATAAACTTGAGATGCTGATTACAATAACTATCAAAGGGCTTGGAGACCCTCCCTCTGCCATAGCTCAAATCAAATAAACAGAAGGATAAGTGAGATGTGTTGACTCACTTGCATTTTTTTCAAAATAGTTTACATTTCTGACTTTTTGCTAATAAATACTGACATTTGCCCAAATTAATTCAAAGGATCACTTTCTTTTCAGGGGCCTCGTAGAGAAAAAAGAGATGGAATTGGTTATAAATAAGTTAGAAGCAGCACAAAATACTTAGCACAGAAGTACTGCATCCTTGTCCTGGGCTTGGCTATGCCTGACAAACATCATATGTGCTGTGGAAAGTAAGTGCACACTTATTATTTCATGAGATCTTCACTTGTTTATTTTTTCATATCCTTAAGATCCTTAAATTTGAATTTTGGTGCCCTTGTGAAAGTTTTCTTTTTTGTTGTACAGAATCAATGGACTCACGTGAGACTCTGCCTCAAATACATGTGTCTTGTTTGAGAAAGCCAAGTTTGGGAAGAATCCCAGAATCCACATTGCTTAGGTTAAAAAGACTCTTCTCTAAGGGTATATTGGCTCAGTGGAATCTTGCTCTCAACCTGGAAGTCTTCCTGCTATGGACCAGGGTCCCATGGCTACTGCAGGCAGGAGGCCTGGTGATGAGCAGTGGTGAAGGGGACATTGGGTGTGTCCCCTGCCCTTCTGCCTCTCATTTTGCAGCAACAATAGCTGTGGGTACGTGCTAGTAAGGTGGGGGTTATATGATGACATTGTTTATGGGGAGATAATCTTTCCCTTAGAATCACAGTTTAGGGGCAGCCCCGGTGGCGCAGCGGTTTAGCGCCGCCTGCAGCCCGGGCTCTGATCCTGGAGGCCCGGAATCGAGTCCCGCATCCGGCTCACCGCATGGAGCCTGCTTTTCCCTCTGCCTGTGTCTCTGCCTGTCTCTCTCTCTCTCTCTCTCTCTCTCTCTCTCAATGAATCAATCAATCAATCAATCAATCTTAAAAAAAAAAAAAAAGAATCACAGTGTAGGGCAGCCCCAGTGGCTCAGCCATTTAGCGCCACCTTCAGCCCAGGGCCTGATCCTGGAGACCCGGAATCGAGTCCCACATCCGGCTCCCCGCATGGAGCCTGCTTCTCCCTCTGCCTGTGTCTCTGCCTCTCCCTCTCTGTGTGTCTCTCATGAATAAGTAAATAAAATATTAAAAAAGAATGACAGTTTATATATTACTATAATTTAAATGTAAGTGTCTCATGGGGCATCTGGCTGGCTCAGTAGAGCACCCATCTCTTGATCTCTGGATTGTGAGTCTGAGTTCCACATTTGGTGTAGAGATTACTTAAAATCTTTTTTTTAATTGTCTTATCACAGGACAATTTTTTAAAATTGTTTTATCACAGTAGGCTCAGGAGCCACACCATTGCCAGAACTCTTATTTTTAACTTTATAGGAAAAAACCAGAATTCATGGTTTCTATCCACATTCCCCACATTTTCAAAATACAGGTATTTCTGTATGCTTTATGTTCTATATTTTCTTTGTACTTTATTCTGTTATTCTGTTTACATAGTTTCACCTACCACTTTGACTAGCAACTATAGTTATTCTATTGTGTAATATACTAGTTTGCTTCACTATCCCTTCTGTGCATGCTTATGTGGTTTCAGTTTTTCTGCTTCATTATATTTCTGCATTGGATATCTTTATATAAATTACTCTATTTGGGCTGCTTACTTATGGCTTATTACCCAAATATATTTACTTAGAAGGCATCAGTAGTTTTTTAGCTCTTGTTACATATTGCCAGATCATTCTCCAAAAAGGTTAAAACATTTTGTATCACATCAGCAGTAAGCATACCTAGCTCTATTAGTTTAATATTTTTGATAGCTTAAAACTTAAAAAAAGAGCTTAAAGCTATTTTATTTGATTTTGAATATTTTTCATGTCTGTGGGGTCTGTGCTCTTTTTCTGTATAAAATAATTTATTGCTTGTTTTTTATATTAATATTATGAATTATTAAAGTTAATTACTGCCTCTTCTGGTTTTAACCATTATCAGAAAGTGAGTATTTATATAATTTATGTTTCATATAGCAAGACTTGGCCATTTTTTTCTAGTTTTTTGCTTTTGTTTTGATGTTTATGTTTTTGCATATTATGACAATGTTAAAAATCTATATTTGAACATTTCTACTTTGTTTCTGATGCTATTCAATAGTCATACAAGTTCATCATCAGCTTTACAGTTTCCTCTTCAATGACTGGTAAAATAACTTTTTCTCAGGGGCACCTAGGTGACCTAATTGGTTAAGCGTACTAATCTTGATTTCAGCTCATGTCATGATCTCACGATTATGAGATCAAGTTCTGTGTTGGGCTCCTAGCTGGGTGTGGAGCCTGCTTGGGATTCTCTCTCCCCTGCTCTGCTCTTCCCCGCCCTTAAAAAAATTACTTTTTCTCAATATTACTCTAATTTATTCTGGCTTCAAATTGAGAAAACTAGAATTTGAGGTTTGTATTAGCTCTGGCTGCCATAACAAATTACCAGAGACTGAATGGCTTAAACAACAGAAATTTATTTTCTCATAGTTCTGAAGCCTGGAAGTGAGAGATCAGGAAGCCAGCATTGTTGAGTTCTTGTGAGGGCTCTCTTCCTGGCTTTGCAGACAGCCGCCTTCTCCCTGGGTCCCTCCATGATGGAAAGAGAAAGCCTTAGTCTGTCTTTCTGTTTTGTTTTTGTTTTTAAGATTTTATTTATTTATTTGAGGGAGAACCAAAGCAAGAGAGATCAGAGAGGAGAGGGAGAAACACATTTGCTGATGACTGGAGAGCCCCATGTGGGGCTCAATCCCAGGACTTTGAGATCATGACCTGAGCCAAAGAGGCTTAACCGAATCATCCAGGTGCCCCTCTCTGTTCCTAAAAGGACACTAATCCCATCATGGTGGCTCCACCCTCATGACCTCATCTGAACCTAATTACCTCCTAAAGACCCCACCTTAAAATGTTACAACCATGATAGTTGTTAAGGCCTCAACATATGAATTTGGGATGGCTGGGGGGAGGGCCACAAACCTTCTATCCACAACAAGGTTAAAAAACCCTACTCTAAAACAAACAAAACCCGAAAAACACCTACTCTAATAATCATATTGAATAATCAATATGAATAATCATATTGGCAATATCTAATGTTTAATCTTTTTTTAAAAGATTTTATTTATTCATGAGAGACACACACAGAGAGAGAGACAGGCACAGAGACAGGCAGAGGGAGAAGCAGGCTCCATTCCATACAGGGAGCCTGACTCGATCCCAGGTTGCCAGGACCACATCCTGGGCTGAAGGCCGCACTAAACCCCTGAGCCACCCGGGCTACCCTAATGTTTAATCTTTAAAGATTTTTATTTTTAAGTAATCTCTGCACCCAATATGAGGCTTGAATTCACAACCCTGAGATTAAGAGTTGTATGTTTTATGAACTGAGCCAGCCAGGTGCCCCTTAATGTTTAAAGCACGTGTGCAGAGGTGCCTCATGATCTCAGGGTCTGTGGGATCCAGCTACCTTGGGCTCAGCAGGGAGTCTGCTGGAGATTCTTTCCCTTTCTACCTCTTGCTCGTGCACACTCTGTTTCTCTCTCTCTCAAATAAATAAATCTTTTAAAAATTAAAAAAATAGGGGGATCCCTGGGTGGCTCAGCGATTTGGTGCCTGCCTTCGGCCCAGGGCATCATCCTGGAGTCCCGGGATCAAGTCCCACATCAGGTTCCCAGCACGGAGCCTGCTTCTCCCTCTGCCTGTGTCTCTGCCTCTCTCTCTCTCTCTCTCTCTCTCTCATAAATAAATAAAATCTTTAAAAAAATAAAAATAAAAAATTAAAATTAAAAAAAATAAAAGCACATGTGCAGTGCAGACTAATTTTGAGATTAAAAATACCCAAACTAGGGATGCCTGGGTGGCTCAGTGGTTGAGCATCTGCGTTTGGCTCAGGGTATGATCCCGGAGTCCTGGGATAGAGTCCCACATCAGGCTCCCTGCATAGAGCCTGCTTCTCACTCTGCCTATGTCTCTGCCTCTCTCTGTGTGTGTGTCTTTCATGAGTAAATAAATAAAATCTTTTTAAAAAATACCCAGACTATAAATAATTGTCTCATAACTAAAAATTTTTTATTGTATCTTTTAGTTCTCTAGATATAGACCCTCACATTATTATACTTTTATTTTTTTATTTTTTTTAAAGATTTTATTTATTTATTCATGAGAGACACAGAGAGAGAGAGAGAGAGAGGCAGAGACACAGGCAGAGGGAGAAGCAGGCTCCATGCAAGGAGCCCAACATGGGACTCGATTCCGGGTCCCCAGGATCGCACCCTGGGCTGCAGGCAGCGCTAAACCGCTGCGCCACCGGGGCTGCCCACATTATTATACTTTTAATGGTAAATTTTTATTACAATGTAATTTTTATACAAATTTTTAAAGAACTCTGTTTGAAAGATACTGACTGCTTCAGTTTAGCACTGGCTCATCTCCAAGAGGTGCTGGTCTTTTTTGCTGTTGTAAGCAACATCACAAGCTTTTCTCCTGCCTATTGGAAAATAGTTTGGAAAAGAATGGGTTTAGAGCTCACCACCCACCATTCACATAACAAATTCCATTCAGGTCAAAAAAGCCAAAGGATATCAAGGAAAACAGATTACAGCATGTTTTGCCAATAAAAGTTGTTAATTGGCCATGGGTGTTGATTATGTTCTTGAAAGGAGTTTATATTGTTCTTTTGGCTATTTTTATCTAGAAGATGAGGACAGTTTTGCCAGTTATGTGATTACCTGATTCTAACATATCATTATTTTACTTAATGTGAGTAAGCTAATGTTCTCATGAGAACATTCTTGTGTATTTTCTGACTTTTCTCTCTAATATATCTATGCTTAATATTGGACTAGGACACCTTATGTTATTTGTCTCTAGATTTAAATTAGAGATTTCAGAAGACCCAGCAATTTGGGGGCTGTTAATTTAGCGTTTTCATGTTTCTTGAGAAGTAGGAGGACATGCCTTTCTATTCTAAATACATCTGTAAAATCCTAATATTGTAAAGCTTTGGCACGATTTTGATGAGCGCGTTCAAGTAAAAGATCTCTGTGTTTTCCAAAATAGATAAGAAGCCCCCTTGATGGCACTTGCCATTGAATTAGATCTATTTTTTGGTTACAGCCAATTCAGGCTCCACCCCCACCTCTACTCTAGGATTTCTATCCTCTTCTTTGCTCTCAATGCTAGCTGTCACCTGATGGGGACCAGAAAAGCTGGCATGGGGATGACCATACAGAGAAAAGGATCTCTTTGAAGCTCAGATTTATAAATCATCCTTAAACCTTAAACCCCATTTCCCACCCCCACCCTCCCAGTCCCAATCAATGATACCTCTTTCCCGGCCCCCAAACACTTTCCTTTGATAGTCTCTTCCTTTGTGCAGAGTAGGCCTTGACCTTCATTTAAACCTGATTTAAGGGCAGCCTGGGTGGCTCAGCATTTTAGCGCCGCCTTCAGCCCAGGGCCTGATCCTGGAGACCGGGGATCGAGTCCCATGTGCTGCTCCCTGCATGGAGCCTGCTTCTACCTCTGCCTGTGTCTCTGCCTCTCTCTCTCTCTCTCTCTCTCTCTCTCTGTGTGTCTCTCATGAATAAATAAAATAAAATTTAAAAAAAAACTGATTTAAGGAACACTACCTTTTTTCCCTCAGGAGCAGGACCCTATGGGCCTGGCCCTAGGCATTTTCTCCCCCCAGGAATGACTAAAATATGATACACTTTCTTTGTGTTGATTTAGAGCTAAGATCTAATGTAGCAAGAAGGAACAAGAAAGCATTGCAACAGGCCAACAAAAATCTCTGGGTTTACCACCAGACTGGCTTTCCCCCCTTTTCTTTAGAGTTTGCCCTCACAAGTGAAATGTACAGCATTTTTGCTGACTAGCATAGTAGCTGCTTGCCACATGTGGCTATTGAGCACTTGGATTGTAGCTGGCCCATATTTAAATGTGCTATAAATGTAAAATATACAGTATACAAACAAGCTTACAAATGAATAAAATACGTCATTAATCATTCTAAAATATTGATTACATATTAAAATGATAATATTTCAGGGTTTGGATGCAATAAATATTAAAATTAATTTTGCCAGTTTCTTTTTACTGTGGCTATCAGAAATTTTTAAATTACATTTGTATTAAATTTCTATTGGATTTTGCTATTATAAAGCCTTTTTCAATTTGTGGAGGATATGGAGTGTTTAAATTTGTTATTTATGCTCTGTAAAATTTTAAATTTATAATCAGTTAATAATTATGATGTACTTAATTTAAAAATTATACAATAAATTTAAAAAGAAGACAAATGACTCAGAATTCACCAAGAGATGAATTTAAACTAGGAGTTAAACTAGGAGTTTCCCAAATGTGCTCATTCTCTGCCTCCATTTCCTGGACTCATTTCAGGTTCACATGTGCAGCTAAGTCAGACTGGTAAGAAGAAATCCACTACATTCTGTACTTGATTTCTGTGGGATAGGCTCCATCAATTTGCTTTGGACTTTAAGGGGAGAAAGAAGTCCCAGTTTTATGGCAACTTGAGGGGGAGGGGAAGAGGTTCATGGTAGCTTCTCTTCTAATGTTTAAAAAGAGAAGAAGAGGGGCAACCAACTGGCTCAGTCAGAAGAGCATGCAACTCTTGATCTCAAGGTCATGAGTTGAAGCCCCATGTTAGGTGTAGAGATTACTTAGGAGAGAGAGAGAGGAGTACCCAGGTGGCTTAGTCAGTTTAAGCATCTGACTCTTGATTTCGGCTCAGATCATAATGTCAGGATCGTGAGATCAAGCCCCAGATGGGCTTTGCACTGGGCATGGAGCTTGCTTAAGATTCTTTCTCCCCTTCTCCCTCTGCTCACCCATACCCCTGTGCATTTGCTCACTCCCTGTCTCTAAAAAAAGAGAGAGAGGGCAGCCCCTGTGGCGCAGCGGTTTAGCGCCTCCTGCAGCCTGGGGTGTGATCCTGGAGCCTGCTTCTCCCTCTGCCTGTGTCTCTGCCCCTCTCTCTCTGTCTCTTTGAATAAATAAAATCTTTAAAAAAATAAAATAAAAATAAAGAGAGAGAGAGAAGAAGAAGAGGAGGAGAAAGTGTGTGTTTCGTGCACACTTTGTCATTTCAAAACCTCACTAAGATGGTGGTAGTTTGGGTTGTACAAACATATGTGCCGCTCTAAATCTCCCAGAAGGCAGGCTGACTTGATATTCCAAAAACTGAGGTTTTTTTTTTTTTAAGATTTTATTTATTTATTCATGAGAGACACACACAGAGAGAGAGACAGAGGGAGAAGCAGGCTCCATGCAGGAAGCCCAATGTGGGACTCGATCCAGGTCTTCAGGATCATGCCCTGGGCTGAAGGCAGTGCTAAACCACTGAGCCACCTGGGCTGCCCAAAAACTTAGCTTAGTTGGTTTTTGCTTCAGCTTGGTGGGTCTGCATGGTGTCTGGTGTCAGCTGGCAGATGCCGTGGAAGGGTGGAAATGCCATATGGGAACAGTACTCCCATCAGGTGGATCCTTCAGGTGGCACAGAAGGATGCTGAGGCTTGTCTTGAAAGCCTCTGCCGGGCTCCGTAGTTTAATGTTTTCAAGTCTGCAAAATAATCTAAAGGAAAATCTGATTTCCCTAGCATTCAGGTATCAGGGACAAATGTGGAGATCTGACAGGCCCGAGTTTTAGTACAGACTCTGTTCCTAATTAAAGGTGTCTTTGGACTTCAGTCTCAGCTGTAAAGTTGACTACATCATAGAGATCTTATGAGGACTAAAATGATAATGTAAAGGGCTTAGCATAGAACTTGGCATTATAGTCTGTACTTAGTAAATGTGCACTGTAATTATTGCCTGCCTTCTTTATTGAAGACTTGCACATGAGAAAACCAGTGTATGAATAAAGAGGCTGCAAGAGGGGAGGAATCTGCCCCGGTAAAAGTTTAACTAATGCTTCAGTGTTTCCTCCAAATAGAGGGCTATTTCGGGCCCACACAGATCATGAAGTCCCTTTGAGAAGGCTGGAGGTCTCGAGGGGTTTGGGTCATCTTCCCCAGACCACTGCAGTTCAGGATTGTTCATGAAAGCCTGATATAGCAAGGCCAATCCTGGGAGACTGCTACTCGGAGGAAGTCCCAGGCAAAACCAGAAGCAAATTCAGAATCAGTCTCGGAGTGCCTGGGTCTAGCTTTGGCCCCCTTGAGTGACCAAGTGATTGCAGGTGCACAGCCCTCTCCATCAGTTCTCAAGTCCTCCACAGGCCATGCTTGCTCTCTTTGGGCTGGGAATCAGAATTAGAATGGCTTGTGTTGGGGAGGGAGACCAAGTTTAGTAAGCATGCCCGTGCTGGTACAGTAACCTTAACACTGAATTCATGTTGCAAGGAGTCCTGAGCAGATGCCTGCCTTTAAGTGACAAGGCCCAGTATATATACTGCATCTAAAAGGAAGAACACACTACTGTCTCCAGTCAACTGAAGATTTTATTTAAAGATGTTTTTGATCTTTTTAAGATGTGTATTCTTTGTCTTTCTCTCCATTTTAGACTTCTTAGTTCTCTGTTTCCCTACCCCGTGTTACCTCTTTACCACCTTTCCATTCCCCTTCTTCCCCAATACTCACATCACCAAAAACATTCATAAGAATACATTTCCTGCTAACTTGTGTATCCTGAATTTATTAACTTTTGACCAAACACTCTAGGAGTTTTGATCTGTATAACCTAAGAAGCTGAAGAAAAAGATATTGGGACTCATCACTATATTTTGATAGATAGCATTTATGTGGCCAAATAGCCGTGGGCCACAAGCAATGATCCTGCCAAGAGGACTTTTAAAGATAGAGGGTTGTGTAGATCACTGAAAGGTTGAAGTTGCCTTCAACCTATAGCTGTGAATTTATTATATTGCAGGGAGAAAATCTCAGATACACAAAAAGATTGGAAATTCTTTGAGGTAAGTCACTTACATTTTGGGGCTTTTTCTCTTTCATATGAAACATGAAGTAGGGAGCACCTGGGTGGCTCAGTGGTTGAGTATCTGCCTTTGGCTCAGGTCATGATCCCGGGGTCCTGGAATCAAGTTCTGCATCAGGCTCTCCACAAGGAGCCTGCTTCTCCCTCTGCCTATGTCTCTGCCTCTCTCTGTGTCTCTCATGAATAAATAAATAAGATCTTTTAAAAAATGAAGTATACCAATAACCAATATCCATTTGTCAGGCACTTATTTTTATTGAATATCTTTTCTTGAAAAGGATGCTAACAAGCTATATACCATATAGTAAACTTCTGGTCTTACCTTCCTCCTGCAAAGGTGACTACATGTGTAATTTCCCACAGCTTTTCAGGAATGTGGAGAAATGGGGTCATCTGGGTTTGGGTCTGCTTAGCGGTGTTACAGAGATAGGTGGGAGCTTTTACTCCCATAGCTGGGTCGTGACTGTTGTCTGTTTTCTGTTGTAGTCCTTTTATACTTTCTGTACGTATGTAGCTTGGATTGTCTTCCGACGTCAACACTTCACAGAGATTGAGGAAGAAATAGGGAGGCTCTTTCGTACCAATTTGTTCAACATTCCTCGGAGGAAGCGTGAGGATGAAGAATCAGGAGGGGAAAAGAAACGCATGACTCTTGTACAATTCAGGTATGACCTTTTGACTTTCCAAAGCTCAAGGACATTTTTGAAAACAGGATGATGTAACCTAAATCACCTCTCCCCACCCCAGGAGAATGATGGCAAAACGCCCAGCGATTAAAAAAGCCATTCACATGCACTCTCCAGTCATGTCTACTCTGCTGCCATCTCTCAGAGAAAAAGCTCAGGATATCTTTGAGAAAAAGAATCATCAAGTAGGCATCAAATTCCCAGCCCAGATGCAAGAGCACATGGAAAGTCTGGACTCTGTGCCTATGCCAACGTAAGTGGCCCAAGGAGAGAGAAAGGAGAACCTCAAGTCATGTCCTAGGTTGGGCCAGGTGGGCCAGGGGCTCAGACACCATGCTCTGTCCAAAAAGTTGAACAAAGATGAAAGCTTTCTTCTTACCCACCCCCTCTCCTCCCCACTGTTTCCTTTCCCAAGCAGTTCTTGGTATACCCATCTAGACTAGAAAACATTGCTAGACGAATATGCTAGACTTCAAATAGTTCTAATTTGGAGGAGGGAGTAGCCGACTTTATAAGGCTGAGGTTTCTTCATTAGAAGAACCATCTCTGGGAAATGTGGGAAGGGCTAGTACAAAATCTTACTGTCGGCTGAGTTTCTGGACCAAAGCTACACACACACACAAGTACAACTATACACCCTTTTCTTTGGCCTCACTGCTTCTGCTCTACCAATAATTCTTTTCACAGAGTTGGCATCCTGGGGGAGCCTCGATGTCTGTTCAACCTCCATACCCTTCTTCCTCTTGATCTGGAAGAAAACATGAAATCAGATGGGAGACATTCTTCCCTAATCGAAAAAAATAACATGAAAATCCAAGATACACTGAACTTAGTCATGAGAACACTATCCTCTCAAACAACATTCCCTAAATAATCGGGTACCTTCCATTTCTGTAATTAAGTTCCTATATTTGAAGTAAACTACTTTGATTTAATCACTTTATATAGGACTAATATTTATTATTGTTAAACTTTTTAAGTTGTTCAAATTATTTTGTTAAAAGTGGAATAGTAGACAAGGAATCCCAGAAAGCTCTTGAAAAGCTCATTTTCCTGTATTGACTAGTTTGTTTTGTTATTATATATTTACTTCCTTGGCTTCTATGTGACTGTTTAGAGTAATGGTAATGTATTAGAATATTTAGCCAATATTCTAGGGGACTAGTGAAGAAACATCCTGTGTATTTGTTTCTAAGCTCATTTTTACTATATGAGAGAGTATCTTTGGTACATTTGAAAAGTAAATTTTATAAAAAGGGAAATTAAAATGTTTTAAAAATGAAACTTCCTGGGGCAGCCCTGGGTGGCTCAGCGGTTTGGCGCCTGCCTTCGGCCTAGGGCGTGATCCTGGAGTCCTGGGATCGAGTCCTGCGTTGGGCTCCCTGCATGGAGCCTGCTTCTCCCTCTGCCTGTATCTCTCTCTCTCTCTCTCTCTATCATGAATAAATAAATAAAATCTTGAGAAACATAGGAGATTGAGATAAATAAAATATGCACCTGCTTACAAGACAATATTGAATGTGTTGGAGGCCATAAAAGGGGTAAAAACCAAGTGCCTTAAGAGGACAGAGCAGAAAAGCAATCACTTCTAGGGGGACCAGGGGCACTTTAACTTGAATTTTGCTTTGCTGGGATTGGTTGGCACTAAAGGGGGACTTCTAGTCAGAGGGAGAACATGTGCAAAGGCCCAGAGATGAAAAAATGTGCCCTATGACTGAGTAAAGGCAGGAGCATGGCGCCTGCAAAGGGAACAGTGGAGGAGCAGGCTGGAAAGGACAGCTCAATGTCCAGCTAGGGAGGGAGTTGGATGTTATTTGGCAGGTGGTGATGATTAAGAATCATTGAGGAAGGGTGCCTGGGTGGTTCAGTTGGTTAAGTGTCTGCCTTTCAGCTCAGGTCATGATCTCAGGGTCCTGGAATTGAGTCTCACATTGGGCACCCTGCTCAGTGGAGAGTCTGCTTCTCCCTCTCCCTCTGCCCCTCAGCTCACTTGTGCACACGTTCTCTCAAATAAAATCTTAAAAAAAAAAATAAAGAATCACTAAGGAAACCACTCCACTACGTGGAATACAGAGCTGCTGATTATATATTGTTATTATTTTTTTTAATTTTTATTTATTTATGATAGTCACACACAGAGAGACAGAGAGAGGCAGAGACACAGGCAGAGGGAGAAGCAGGCTCCATTCACCGGGAGCCCGACGTGGGATTCGATCCTAGGTCTCCAGGATCGCACCCTAGGCCAAATGCAGGTGCCAAACCGCTGCGCCACCCAGGGATCCCTATTGTTATTATTTTAAAAGAGTTTAACCAGCTAAAGCAACTGGACTGAATTAACCTTTCTCTGGTCACAGATTTATCCTCAGGTTTCAAAATCCTCATTTTAGCCTTTAGCTAAAAACTCATTCATTTCAGAGAGAAAACTGGACACTCTCCCCAGATTTAACAACAGAAGTAGAGGAACACCAGCTCCAGCCTATTGATAATGTGGGGCAGCTTCTGTTAAACATACTCTCCATCTTCACGCTGTCATCCTTTACCATCCAAGTCAATTCCTATAACAACCTCCATTAAAACTGCAAAGTTATGGGGCACCTGGTTGGCTCAGTTGGTTAAGCATTTGACTCTTGATTTCGGTTCAGGTCATGATCTCAGGATTGTGGGGTCCAGCCCCACATCAGGCTCTTCACTCAGCAGGGAGTCTACTGGAGATTCTCTCCCTCTGCCCCTCCCCCTGCACATGCTGTCTCCTTCTCCCTCTCTCTAAAATAAATAAATCTTAAAAAAAAAAAACCTGCAGGGATCCCTGGGTGGCGCAGCGGTTTAGCGCCTGCCTTTGGCTCAGGGCGCGATCCTGGAGACGCGGGATCGAATCCCACGTCGGGCTCCCGGTGCATGGAGCCTGCTTCTCCCTCTGCCTATGTCTCTGCCTCTCTCTCTCTCTGTGTGCCTATCATAAATTAAATAAAATAAAAATTATTAAAAAAAAAAACCTGCAAAGTTCTTATCAAAATCATGGACCATGAGCTAACCTTTGTTGGACTTTTAACTTATTAGAGAATTTGGTTATAATGCATCTGTCACAAAAATTTCTTTCTTTTTTTTTTTTGAACATTTGTCTTTTTTTTTTTTTTTTTTTTTATGATAGTCACAGAGAGAGAGAGAGAGAGGCAGAGACACAGGCAGAGGGAGAAGCAGGCTCCATGCACCGGGAGCCCGACGTGGGATTCGATCCCTGGTCTCCAGGATCGTGCCCTGGGCCAAAGGCAGGCGCCAAACCGCTGCGCCACCCAGGGATCCCTGTCACGAAAATTTCTATCTAGAATATGTTGACATGGTTTTAGCTTTTATTTTTTGATATTTTAAAATAAAGGTTGAGAATTACAAGACTTTTGTAACTACTAAGGCACTGGGCTTTTCTCTACCTCCTTTGCGAATGTTGAGGCTTTGGTTTACTTCATTTACTAATTCCTTCATTTGTTTATTCACTTTTTCATTCCATAATTAGTATATCCGCACTGTGTGCTGGGCACTGTGTTTGGTGCTAGGAATTCAGTGTAGAAAAAACACAACCAGCTCTGATTTGGAAGTGACAAGTCTTAGGGAGAGACAGACAGGAAACAAATACCTAGATAATGAGCTAATTGCAGTGGTGACGAATGCTGCATAAGAAGAGAATGCCAAGAGAGTGCAACTAGAGACTTGCTGGGATGTACAGGATAGGCAGGTAAAGAAGAGTTTATCCCTAAGGAAGTGACATTTAAATCTGAGACTTGAGGGGTGCCTGACTGGCTTCGTATTTAGAGCCTGTGACTCTTGATCTCATGGTTGTGACTTCGAGCCCCACATTGGTTGTAATGATTACTTTAAAAAATAAAATCCTAGGGACACCTGGGTGGCTCAGTGGTTGAGCATCTGCCTTTAGCTGAGGTTATGATCCTGGGGTCCTGGGATCAAGTCCCGCATCAGGCTCCCTGCGGGGAGCCTGCTTCTCCCTCTGCCTATGTCTCTGCCTCTCTCTCTCTGTCTTTCATGAATAAATAAACAAAAATCTTTTTAAAAATTTAAAAAAGGGACGCCTTGGTGGCTCAGTGGTTGAGCGTCTGCCTTTGGCTCAGGGTGGGGTCCAGGGATTGAGTCCCACATTGGGCTCCCAGCATGGAGCCTGCTTATCCCTCTGCCTGTGTCTCTGCCTCGCTCTCTCTCTGTGTCTCTCATGAATAAATAAATAAAATCTTAAATCTTAAAAGAAATTTTAAAAATAGCAGTGCCTAGGTGGCTACGTCAATTAAGCATTTGACTCTTGATCTCTGCTCAGGTCTTGATCTCAGGGTTTTGAGTTCCAAACTTCACATTGGGCTCCATGCTAGGCATGGAGCTACTTAAAAATGAATGAATGAATGAATGAGTAAATCTGAGACTTGACACATGGGATTAAAGTGGCAGGAAGTGATAAGGGGAATACTCCTAAGTATTAGTTATCTATTTCTGTGAAACACCTTATCCCCAAACAGTGACTTAAAACAGTAACATTTATTATCTCGCAGTTTCTGTGGGTCAGGCATGTGGATGCAGCTTAGCTTGAATCTTCCAAATCCTGGCCTCTCAAAAAGTTTTCAACCAGTGTGTCAACCAGGGCTGAAGTCATCTGAAGGCTCAACTGGGGTTTGATCTGCTTCCAGTATGACTCATAAGCCTGTGCTATATGAGCCTGTGCCTCAGTAGCTGATAATATATCAGTAGGCTTCATCAGAGTGAACAAGTAAGAAAGGAAGAGAAAGTGTGCAAGACAGAAGTTAGTCATTTACCTAGTATTGGAACTTCCATTCCATCAGTCTGCTGTATTCTGTCCTTTAGAAGCAAGTCACAAGGTTCAATGGGAGGAGACTATACAGGGTCATGAATATGAAGTGAGGATCACTGGGGGCCATCTTAAAAGTCAGCCTGCCACACTGGCCATGAAAGTCTTGAGGCTGGAAGCAAAGCCTTTTCAAGTTGCTGAGATAAAGCTTTTGTGGGTATAGAGAGAAAAGATAGAAGAATGAGAAGTGGCAAGAGAATAGGCACAAGCTTATCGTGGAAGGTTCTGTAAGTGTACTAAGGATACACTTAAGAACAATGAGGGTTGTTGCAATGTGATTATGTGGTTTATGGCTTGCACAAAGGCATCAGTCAAAGAGATGGATGGGGGCTGAAATCCAAATACACATCCTTACTTGCCACTAGTTCTTTCTAGAGAGAGTCTCTTCTAGTAATTTACAAAGCAACAGACTTAAATGGGTACCCTTTGATATTTTTTAAGCAGGTGCATTGTTAAAGCTTATCAAAGATTTTTTGTTTTTGTTTTTGGGTTGGGGTGTGTGTGTGTGTGTGTGTGTGTGTGTGTTTAATATTTGGCAATTAAGTGAATGAAAAGACAAGCTACCAATTAGAAAATATCTGCAAAACTCATATCTGACAGAGGATTTGAATGCAAAATATACAAAAAACTCTTAAAAATCAACAATAAGAAAACAATCCAATTTAAAAATGGGCAAAAACTTTTCATAAGAAGATATCTTACCAAAGAAAATATACACACAAAAAAGCATATGAAGAGATGTTCACAAGCATTAGGGAAGACAAATTAAAAAAGTTATGAGATGTCACTACAATGCCTATTAGCCATGGCTAAAGTCCAAAAACCTGAATACCAAATGCTGGTGAGGTTGTAGAGCAATGGAACTCTTATTCACTGCTGGGATACTACACTTGATCTTAGCCAAAAGGCCGAGAAGCGATCACTGCTGGGATAATAAAAATGATGCAGCCACCTTAAAAGATGATTCAGAAATTTCTTTCTCTATACTTCTTTTAAGTTTCTTAAAATTCATATGAAAGTGTAAGAGATCCAGATAAGCAAAACAATTTTGCAAAAGAACAAAGTTGGAAGACTAACACATTCTGATTTCAAAATTTAACTCAAAAGGGATAATAGACCTAAATGTAGGGACACTTGGGTGGCTCAGCGGTTGAACGTCCACCTTTGGCCCAGGGCATGATCCTGGGATCCGGGATCGTGTCCCACATGGGGCTCCTTGCTCCTGCTCCTCTCTCTGCCTGTGTCTCTGCCTCTCTCTCTGTGTCTCTCATAAATAAATAAATAAATAAATAAATAAATAAATAAATAAATAAATAAAATCTTAAAAAAAAATAGACCTAAATGTAAGAGCTAAAACTAGAAAAGTTTTAGAAGAAAATGTTGGAGTAAATTTTGATGATCTTGGGTTAGACATTGGTTTCTTAAGTATGAATGACACCGAAAACATAAGCAACCAAAAAAATTGATAAATTGGATTTCATCAAAATTAATAACTTTTGTACTTCAAAGGACATTGTCAAGAAAATAAGGATGATGGTTGTTTAACTCTGTGAATATACTAAAGACAATTACATTTTACACTTTAATGATGAACTGTATGGCATAGTTATATCTCAATAAAGCTGTTATAAGTGAAAACAATCCACAGAATGGGAGAAAATATTTGCAAATTGTGTATGTGATAAAGGTCTGGTATTCAGAATATATAATGGATTCTTACAACTCCACAATAAAAAATAAATACTCTAATTTTTATTTTATTTTTTATTAAGTTTTCATTTTAATCACCTGGTGGTGCTTATCATGAGACATGCACTCCTTAATCTCTGTCACTATTTCACCCATCTTGCCACCTGCCTCCTCTTTGGTAACCATCAGTTTGTTCTCTAGAGTTGAATCTGTTTCTTGATTTTTCTCTTTTTATTCTCCCTTTACTCGTTTGTTTCTTAAATTCTACACATGAATGAAATCTTGTGATACTTGTCTTTCTCTGACCGACCATTCAGTTAGCATTATACTCTCTAGATCTATCCATGTCATTGTAAATAGCAAGATTCCATTCCTTTTTTATGACTGAATAATATTCCAATGTGTGTGTGTATACATCTTCTTTATCCATTCATCAATTAATGGACACTGGAGCTGGTTCCATATCTTGGCTACTATAACTAATGCTGCTATAAGTATGGAGGCTCATGTGTCCCTTTGAATTTGTGTTTTTGTATTTATACCCAGTAGTGTAATTGCTAATAGTTTATTTTTAATTTTTTGAGGAATTCCATACTTTTTCAGCCACCCACAGGGTTTGCACCACTTTGCATTCCCAACAGCAGTGTAATAGGGTTCCTTTTTCTCCACATCCTAGCCAACACCTATTGTTTCTTGTGTCATTGATATTAGCCATTTTGACAGATGTGAGATGGATCTCATTGTAATTTTGAATAGCATTTCCCTGATGGTAAGTGATGTTGAGCATCCTTTCATGTGTCTTGTGGCCATCTGTATGTCTTCTTAAGAGAAATGTCTGTTCATGTCTCCTGCCTATTTTTGAATTGGATTAATTGTTTTTTTGGGTAATAAATTGTACAAGTTCTTTATATATTTTGGATACTGATGCTTTATTGTATATGTCATTTGCAAATACCTTTTCCCATTCTGTAAGTTGCCTTTTAATTCTATTGATTATTTCCTTTACTGTGTAGATTTTTATTTTTATTTTTTAAGACTCTATTTATTTATTTGATAGAGTGTGTGTGTGAGCCGAGGTGGTGGGGGGAGGGGCTGGAACAGAGGGAGAAGCAGACTCCCTGCTGAGCAGGGAGCCTGTTGGCTCATGACCTGAGCCAAGGGCAGATGCTTAACTGACTGAGCCACCCAGGTGCCCCAAAGATTTTTATTTTGATATAGTCCCAATAGTTTATTTTTACTTTTTTCCCCTCGTCTCAGAAAATATATCTAGAAAAAAGTTGCTGTGGCCGATGTCAGAAAAAATCTCCCTATGTTCTCTTCTAAAACTTTTATGGTCTCAGTTCTCATATTTAGATCTTTAATCTATTTTGAATTTACTTTTGTGTATGGTGTAAGAAAGTGATCCAGTTTCATATTTTTTGCATGTTGCCGTCTAGTTTTCCCAATACCATTTGTTGAAGAGATGGTCTTTTTGCCATTGGACACTTCATTCCTCCTTTGTCAAAGATTAATTGGCCATATAATTGCAGGTTTATTTCTGGGTTTTCTGTTCTATTGATCTATGTGTCTATTTTTGTGCCAGTACCATAATACTGTTTTGATCACTACAGCTTTGTAATATAACTGGGAAGTCCAGAATTGTGGTGCCCCAGCTTTGCTTTTCTTTTTCGAGATTGCTTTGGCTCTTTGATGTTTTTTGTGGTTCCATACAAATTTTAAGATTGTTTGTTCTAACTCTGTGAAAAATGTTGCTGGTATTTTCATAGGCATTGCATTAAATCTGTAGGTTGCTCTGGGTAGTATAGACATTTTCACAATATTTGTTCCTCTGATCCATGAGCATGGAATGTCTTTCTGTTTCTTTGTCTCTTCTGCAGTTTCTTTCATGAATGTTTTATAGTCTTCCAAGTATAGGTCTTTCACCTCTTTGGTTAGGTTTATTCCTAGGTATTTTATTATTTTTGGCATTGTTTTCTGAACTTCTCTTTCTGCTGCTCCATTATTGGTATATAGAAATACAACAGATTTCTGTAGATTAATTTTGTATCCTGAAACTTTACTGAATTCATTTATCAATTCTAGCAGTTTTTTGGTGGAGTCTTCCGGGTTTTCTATATATAGTATCATGTCATCTGCAAACAGTGAAAGTTTTATTTCTCCTTGCTGATTTTGATGCCATTTACTTCATTTTGTTGTCTGACTACTGTGGCTAGGGCCATCCAGTACTCTGTTAAATGAAAGTGATGAGAGTGGACATCCTTTTCTTCTTCCTGACCTTAGGGAAAAAGTTCTCAGTTTTTCCCCATTGAGGATGATGTTAGTTGTGGATTTTCATATATGGCCTTCATTATGTTGAAGTATGTTCCCTCTAAACCTACTTTGTTGAGGATTTTTATCATAAATGGATATTGTACTTTGTCAAATGCTTTTTCTGCATCTATTGAAATGATCATATGGTTTTTATTCTTTATTATTCATGTGATATATCATGGGATTGATGTATGAATATTAAGCCACCTTTGCAACCCAGGAATAACTATGACTTTTTTTTTAAGCAAAAATGAGTATTTTATTTTGGCAGCACTAAAGGAAAAAAAACTCACTGTATTTCTACATTGAGGTGAAAACAGTGTTTAAACTTTCTTATCAATCAAATACATTCCAAAAGAAAGTGTGTTTTATGAACGTTCCAAAGCACAGGCAAATCTTAACACAATAATACAGGAATCTGTAATACTGAAAATGTTTTTTCTGATAGGGTGTTTAACAAACATAACTTTTGAATTATAAAACCAGTGGTGATCATGGTGAATGACTCTTTAAATGTATTGTTGGATTTGGTTTGCTAGTATTTTGTTGAGGATTTATGCATCTATGTTCATCAGGAGGGATATTGGCCTGCAGTTTCTTTCTTTCTTTCTTTCTTTCTTTCTTTCTTTCTTTCTTTCTTTCTTTCTTTCTTTCTTCTTTCTTTCACTTTTGTGGTGTCTTTATCTGGTTTTGATGTCAGGGTAATGCTAGCCTCATAGAATTTAGAAGTTATTCTTCTTTTTCTATTTTTTTGGAATAGTTTGAGAAAAATAGGTATTAAACTCTAAATGTCTGGTAGAATTTGCCTGTGGAGTCATCTGGTCCTGGACTTTTGTTTGTTGGGAGTTTGTTGATTACTATTTTAATTTCTTTGCTGGTAATCAGTCTGTTCTTCCTGTTTCAGTTTTGATACGTTATATATTTCTTTTTTTTTTTTTTTTAGATTTTATTTATTTATTCATGAGAGACAAAGAGAGAGAGAGAGGCAGAGGGAGATGCAGGCTCCATGCAGGGAACCCAATGTCCCGGGTCTCCAGGATCATGCCCTGGGCCAAAGGCGGCACTAAATCACTGAACCACCCAGGCTGCCACGTTATATATTTCTAAGGATTTATCCATTTCTTCTAGATTGTCCAATTTGTTGGTATATTGTTTTTCATAATATTCTCTTATAATTATTTGTATATCTATGGTGTTTCTTGTTTTTTCTCTTAGTCATGATTTTATTTATTTGAGTTTTTTTTTCTTCATAAGTCTGGCTAGAGGTTTATCAATTTTATTGATTTTTTTCAAAGAACCAGCTCCTGGTTTCATTGATCTGTTTTATTGTTTTTCTAGTTTCTGTATCATTTATTTCTGCCCTAATCTTTATTACTTCCTTCATTCTGATGGTTTTAAGTTTTCTTTGTTGTTCTTTTTCTAGCTCCTTTAGGCGTAAGGTTAGGGTTTGCTTTTTTTTTAAATTAAGATTTTATTTATTTACTTGACAGAGAGAGAGCACAAAAGCAGGGAGAGCAGCAGAGGGAGAGAGAGAAGCCAACTCCCTCCTGATCAGGGAGCCCCATGTAGGACTCAATCCCAAGACCCTGGGACATGACCTGAACTGAAGGCAGATGCTTAACAAACTGAGCCATCCAGGCAACTCAGTTCAGTTGTTTATTTGAGGGTTTTTTTGCTTCTTGCAGTAGGTATCTATGGCGTAAATATCCCTCTTAGAATTGCTTTTGCTCTATCCCATAGGTTTTGAACCATTGTGTTTTCATTTTCATTTGTTTCCATGTAGTTTTTTTAAATTTTTATTTATGATAGTCACAGAGAGAGAGAGAGAGAGGCAGAGACACAGGCAGAGGGAGAAGCAGGCTCCATGCACCGGGAGCCCGATGTGGGATTCGATCCCGGGTCTCCAGGATCGCGCCCTTGG